GTGAAGAGAAGGGGTCCTGTCTCTTGTCAGCGAGCATAGAGGTGACGCGCTTGAAGTAAGCGGAGGCGGACTTGCCGTAGCCGCCGGAAGCGCTAAACACAATGGGAGAGAATGAAGCGTGTTCTACTTCACGGAAGCATTTTTCGTACGCACGCCTTTTTGTTTTTGTTGTTGTGTTTATTTGAATTCGCAAACCACCGGCAGATCTGCCCAATGAAAAGGTGGCGAATGCAGATAGAAAGCAGTAGTAAATGAAATTGGGGACTGATGTAATTAGGATAGAGGTGGAGAAAAACTAAGCCAGCTGATCATCAAACAGGACGTTTGGTACTCTAGGTACTAAGGGTGTGCGGGATCATGCTGGCCTTTTCTCGGCCTCATGCTTCCGGTAGGTAGCCGTGATGGACTGCTGGCGGTTGGAGCGGGCGTGCGGGTTGAACACCCGGATGTCCAGTAGTGCCCGTTCGAAACGTCCACCCCAGAAACCCGATGCAGCCACATCCAGGTGGCCACCATCCTCGGAGATGGCGGAGCGGTGACGGAAGGTCTCACCGGTTAGTGGCTGGAGATGCGGCTCGACCTGGACATCATGGGCCACTTCACGCAGGAGAGATGCGGTGAGATCCCGTAGGTCATTATGCCGCATGGTGGGGTAGCCACCAGTTGGGCAAGACAGCGCGTGTTCCGGTGAAAACGCTTTGCCGCACACACATTCCGTTGGCAGGCCTGGAGGGGTCCAACCATACCGTAGCAGGTAGGCAGAGATGGTGGCAGCCGGGGGCCGGGGACGCCTTCTGCGGGCTCATCTTGTTGGAGGATCTTCTGCACGAGAGACTTGTCACTTGGTGATCATATGGTGATACTGGTATGCATGAAATCCTGGAACTGTGAGGCAAGAGTTACAAAGTAACAGTTTGAAGAGAGGATTACAAGCAAGAGTACATAACCCCCCAGAGTGTGCAACGCCTGATCCAGCTCTGCATAGGGTCTTGGTCGAGCGGAATCGGATCTTTGCGTCATAATACCGTACACATCTGAGGGGAACCCGGGGAGTCGCGGGTACTCTTGGATCAAAAACAATGGTGCCCTGCCTCGAGACCGGCCTTGCGCTGGTGTGAAGTGTACGCATGACATCAGAAGATCCGATTCCGCTCGACCAAGACCCTACACTATTTTGACCGCACTTTCTTCGACGTACGGGTTTTTAACCCTTTCGCGGCTTCAAATCGCTCCACCTCAGTACCCTCCTGCTACCAGCGCCACGAACGGGAGAAACGCCGCTAGGAGCGTGTTCGAGAGATCGAACATGCAACTTTTTCACCTCTCGTTCTCTCCTCAACAGGCGGCATGGGCAAGTCGGCAACAGAAGTGGACTTTTGGCGGCATATCAGTATTTGACCCGGGTCAACTGTCTTCATGTAAAGTCAAAAAAAAAGCTATAAGCGGATTGCCGGGCTCCTGTCCGACAAGACGAACAAGTGAGTTGAACAGACTAAATACGTACCTTGGAAGCATTGGTCTCATCTTGAATGCCCAGAAAACGAAGTTCATGGTGCTTCGGAAGAAGGCTCTGCCTCTTCCGCCGGATCTTACCATTGCATGCGGTGGTGTCGATATTCGACCTTCTGCCACAGCGCGTTATCTTGGCCTCATTATTGACCAACACCTCACCTTTGAGGATCAAGTCAACCATGTATGTACATCTGTTTATAAGAAGATAGGAGCATTCCGCCGCTGCCGCCGTACAGTAGACCACACAACTAAGCGAATATTTTATTTATCCCTCATCCAATCCACTATTGAATACGCCAGCAACTCGTATGCTCACTGTCTTACACCATCTTTATACTCTCGCCTTGTTACTTTAAGTCATATCAGCATGAAACAGGCTTTTGGTCTCCCTCGCCGTACCCCGACTGTCTTTGTTTTGCGGCACGCTAAGTTATACTCCCTCGAATCTCGTCTCAACTTGAGGCTTTTTATTTTTGTTTTCCGCTGTATTCATCAGCTTACAAGTCCTCTTCTTTCCTCAATGTTCACCCTCCAGTCAGCTGCTACTTGCACCGAGAGGCGCACTAGAGGGCAATCATTCTCTTCACTTTCTTTGCCCGCTGCTACCACTAGATATGGCATGTTCTCCATTTCTTTCCTTGGCGCTGATAGGTGGAATTCTCTGCCTGTCTCGTGTCGTTAGGTTGAGCATCTATCCGTTTTTGTTTCGCTCTGTAAAGAGCACTTAGGGTTCCCTGTAACAAGACGGCAACGTCTGTAGGGCCTTCCCTATCAAAATAATAAATTCTACTACTACTACTACTACTACTACTACGAAGGAGCCGTACAACCGTGTAATGGCGTGGATTCGCTGCCGCCTTGGCTTTGCTCTGGTTCGCTCCAGCATGGTTTGTTTGCGTGGTGCTCGGCGACGCCCCATGCGCGTCAGCGATGTGGCGGATGCATCTGCTACCTTGGCCGTTGCCGAGGCCCGCTGCCCTGTGTAACTGACTGCAAGTGGTTCCTAAATCAGTTCCTATTCCTCATTGTTGCTTCTTTTTTCCCCTCTAGTTTTCTTTTACGGTATTATAATTTCACGGAGAAGGCGGAGAGCCCGAACGTGTGCAGTTTTATATTTATTATTTGCCATGGCGACCCCCGTAAGTCCAAATAACTGGCGGGGCAGGGTTGGGCCTTTTTCTTTCTTCTCGGACTTCTTTTCACAGTTCATGACATGCTCACTGATGTTAAAAAATAAATAAAACATAAATAAATAAAAAAATAAAAAAAAAACACAGCTGGATCGGCGTTGCACACTCTGTACTGGGGGGTTATGTACTCTTGTTACAGGTCTACTCTCCATATAACGTAATCTCTGGGACCACGCAAAAATTATGTTATATCGAGAGTTATGTTATGTAGAAAACCGTGTGTAAAATACAATATGTACCTCAAAATGAAGGGTATTACAAGGCGGGTTCAATCGTGCAAACATATACACACTGTACCACCATCGACATCAGATACCATCAATGCTGCAGAATGTAATGCACATAGGCCATATAGGACTAAACTGGCTAGCTACGGCTACAGCTTGATTGTGCTGCGCACCTGAATCTACGTTGTATCGAGAGTGTACACGTTGGGGACTGCGCCGTAGGGTGCGTTATGCCGAGGTTTACGTTATGTAGGACTAAACTGGCCTAAACTGCCTAGCTACAGCTACCGCTTGATCATACCGTGCACGTGAATTTATGTTGTATCGAGAGTGCGCACGTCGGGGACCGCCGTAGCGTGTGTTATGTCGAGGTTTATGTTATGTAGGATTATGTTGTGTAGAACAAAATTTGTATGGCAGTGATGCTGTTTCGGCGCGGGATTTGGCTTTTTTATGTACTAACGAGGTTTATGTACAAGTGAGAGTTGTTATATCGAGAGCAGACCTGTACAAGTGTAGATCATGTACAATTTTTTGTAGCTGGGTTGACGATCCCCCAGCCGGCTAGCGCTAGGCCCTCCACATCCCTGCACGGTAGTGGCAAAAAAATCTACCGCGTCCGCGACTCCGCGCGTACCGACGCGTAAATAGTCGTACCGTACTCGGTCCGTAGGTCTTCTTTTTTTGTGATTGTCAAGCAAGGCAACAAGGCTGTAGGCTGTTTGTACATGTACATGACCTTGAGTCTTGACTTGTGCCATAATGTCAATGATGCCCCAGCTGGATTGTTGCTGACTTGCCACGATCTTATCCACAAAATCACCTTGAGAAGCTTTGTACATGACTGTCTGTAGTTTGTGTCATTTGTAGACACACTGTAAATGCGTAGGAACTGGGGAAGATTTCTTCGTAACCCTGTCAAGCACCTGGGACGTGCGTTGTCGTTTCTTGTGCAGTTGCGTTGTATAGTGCAGTGTGTGCTGTAGATAATATTGCTGTTTGAGTCAGCTGATCGTAGTTCTTCCGCCGTTTGCATTCCCTAAAATTTGTCTTGGAACTGTGAAGGCAGACTATGTGAGAGTAGTTCATCGCTGCTATGGGAAATTGCCTCAGTGCACCCAATGAAAGCAGACAACCGTACAACGACGACCAGCAAGCATCCGATGAAGGTTCGTTGAGTTTTGTACAATTAGCTTGTAGGTTTACTTGTTCCATGATTATGTTTGGGATTTTTTGTTTATGGTAGATGTAGCCCTTGGCAAGAATCGTCGTCTAAGTACGAGTCCTCCGCAATGGAGCCCAGAAGAACGAATGACTCGGGAGGAAGTTGAGTCGAAGCGAGCTGAATTCTGGGAAACATCTCCTGCTTTCGAAGGACGAAAGGAGATCTGGGAAGCGCTGAAAGCTGCTTGTGATGCTTTTGGAAATAAGGAGTTCGAGTTGGCACAGACTATTGTATCAAGCGCCGGCATATCTTTACCGCGGGGTAAGTGTAGCGTGTGCAGTGAAAATGAATAATTTATATTGTAGACTTACACACATGACTGTACATATCCGAAAAGTCAATTGTGTACTCGTGTCAGAAACAGGCAAGAAAGCCAGAGTTATGAAACTTGACCAGATATGGAGCAGGTCATTTGGCCCAAAAACTGCCAAAAGTGACTCTCACTACTGCTATTCAAAGACCTAACTCTTCAGCCCTAGCACCTCTCTATTGTCCATACCAACAGCTCTCCAGCTTGGAAAGTTTGTGATTATTAGCAAGAGTACATAAACCAGAGTGTACAGTTCTGCGGTTGGTTTGGTCCACAGCATAATTTTGTTGACATCACCATTTTGAGGACCGGTGGCGCATGTAGTACAAAGCATGCGCTGGGCGCCGACCTTCATCGAAAGTTTGTGTTTTTGACCCATTCAAAACGAAATATTTAACTTTTTATCCCGCTGCTTTAGCTTTTTATCGTACACGTTGTGCAGGATTACCTGTCCAAGTTCTGGCGGCCAAAGACTCGTAGTACATGCCCCGTGTGGTATGATTCATGATCTCCAGAAAAGTTAACGTCAACAAAAGAATTACACCGTGGGCCAATCCAAGCGGAGCTGAACACTTTTGTTTGTGCACTCTTGTGATTAGAGATAATGCCGGAGTAACAGCGAGGTTGTTGGTGTGCACATGAAAGATACAATTCTGGCCAGAGAAGCTCAGCCTCGTGAATGAAGTGGCACCGCGCTCGAATGCAATGAATAGCGTGTGTGGTGCTAGGGCCGCGTAGTGCCCTGCGCTACTTTATTCATGAGGTCGGATTTCTCTGGCCAAGCCTTTATGGGCAGGCCATGCACAACTCTGCCGGTCGTGCTCAGACACGATCTCGAGCTGGTTGGGAGGACCCTCAAGACCTCGGCAGATCTTGAGGAGCTGAGGAACATCGCCCAGAACCGCTACCTCAGCGGCCGGGTCCTGGAGAGATTTCATTTCACCGAACAAGACCGCACTTGGCATGATTACCTTCTCGCACAAGACTCAAGAGTGTGCAACTCTACATAGGTTTGCTTTATGGTCTGCTGACAGTGAAAATCACACCGTATGGGTTTTTGTTTGTGTCCAGGGAGTTTTTAGTTAGCAATTGAGTTAGTATCGCCCCATGAGTGTACAACTGCAGCCTATTGAGTCTGCAACGACAGAATTTCACATCACATGACAAGCGATACACACTCCTGTTCACACTTTCTGCACCCTGTACTGTCCCACAGATATCTACGGTCTCACTGCAGCGACAAAGAAATAATTGCGCCACTTTCGAATACTGTAGAACGGGTAATTGTAGCGACGCAAAAACCCTAGCGAATTTAGCGATCGACTCATTTTCACTAAAGTTTCAAGTCGCTAATCAGTTCAGACATTAGTAATGCACTGGTGATCCGTGAGTAAAATCGCTGCAAGTCGCTAAAATTACCCATTCTACAGTATTGTACTCGCCAAGTATGCCTAAAAAGGAAGTTCCGCGAAATCCGCGTACATAGAAAATGTGTGGAACTCCTGTTGGAAATTCAAATTCAGCAAGGTGGAATTTGTAGTTCATTGCATGTACACTATACAAGTCAGCTCAGTATGCACAAGCAGACTGTTCTGGCCAGTTCTGAGTGCCTGCGTCTACTGTAAAACCCGGTTTGAGATGTCTGTGTAAAGATGCGCATTCAGATGGGTAGCCAGGTAGCCACCGTTAAACTTTCTGCACATTATCATGCCAAAATTACAACTTTTTGGTCGAACTTTCCGGTTTTACAGTATACCGTATATCTCTGCTCTGTGTGACATTTTGACATGCAGTTACTGAGTAGTCGAAGACCGCTGGGGCTCAGGGTACCTAGCATTGTTCTAAAATGCTCAAATGTAAATCGTTTTGATAATTGACAGCTACACCATAGCTCAGTGGTCAGAGATGCGCGGTTATGCTGATAATTCGAAGTTAGCAAGGCATATTTTATTCAAAAAAGGCATTCACTTTACACTATACTGTAAAAGCCATACCGTATTATCTCTAATATAAGCACGGTCCTTTATTTTTTCAATGTACCTCCGCCCCGTGCTATTAATGGAGACGTTCCTTTATTGGAGACTGTTCCATTATTATTTCAACCTCATTTCAGAGGCATGTTGCCATGCCAATTGGATTCATGTCAGACACACACATTTAAGGGTTTTTCGCCGGTACAGATAATGAATTTACACAGTGTGCTTATAATGGAGACTGAGCACTTTATTTTTTGAATGCTGCCCCAAGGTGTTCTATTATTGGAGACTGTGCTTATATTAGAGATAATACGGTATATGTAACGAAGTGCTAACTCTAACGAGTTAACGAGGAGAAATCTGAAATCGTTATACAGAAATCGATACATATACTGTACTATTGAGCGTTGAGAATGAGTGAGAATCGTTACCTTTGTACACGTAAACTAGTCAATTTAGGGAAATCGTTATTATATGCGCCTCGATAGAATAATGGCTTTTACAGTACTGGTCAGTCCGGGGTGCGGGCATTTTGACATACATGTGCACAAAGTGTTTTGAGTACAGGTTTGGATAATTACTTAGAAGCTTTCCTCAACATTTTGTGATTCGAAGTATCAGGATTCCACCTGTAGATTGGTGTATCATGAAAAAAAAAAAAAAAAAATTAATCCATTCCTCCGGCTCTCCCGTGTGCCTTTTGGTTTTGTTGTCCTGTGCCAATGCAGGTACTCTGGCTGATGTTTATGATGAGCTTGGGAATCGCTATCGTATCCCTAACTATTGTCTTGTGTTTCCGCCTGATTCTCCTGGTCGTGGCACTTCCGAACCCTCTGGAGCTCCCCAGTCAACGGATGACTCAGGCAGTAAGCCAAAGCCATCAGCAGAGGCTGCATCTGCACCAGATTCCCCGCAAGGTGACAAGATCACTCTACGCATTCGCCTTTCCAGTCTAAAGGACGTCAAAATTAGTGTGCGGAGGACCGACACAATTGCCACAGTCAAGCAGAAGCTTGGGCAGATGGAGGGTTTTGATGGTAGCAAAGTCCGAATTTTCCTCACCGGAAAAATTCTACCTGATTCAGCAGTCATCTCAGCTATAAAAATTCCTAAAGGATTCTTGCTTCAGGCGCATGTGCCTGCATCTCCATCGTGATTTTAAAGAGATCGCTTCACAATTTTATCGGCTTTGTCTGACTCTGTGAAGAAGAGTTAGGTTAGTGCGACTTTGGCGATCTTTGTCTAACTCTGCACAAACATATCCATTCATGCTCTACAGGACATAACAAAATAGTTCCCATTCATTCCCACAAAATATGTCTTGAACACCCCGCATGAAAGCTGTTGACATATTTAATTCTCCAAATTCTAGTCAGCATGAGCCCAGTTTTATCAGTTTGCTGTGCTTTTTCGACTCGTCTCCCGTTTTAGTGCATCTAGCTGTTCCAAACCTCGCCCTGTACATATTACAGTGACGCTAAGTTTGTGCAGATTTGGTTTATTTTCAAGTTTTATTAAATTACTTATCCGTGATGTGCATCAACTTGACACGTGAATGGCCCTTTGTAGTCCTTGGTAGTTCTTTTAGCCGTACCGTGTAGATCAACATGATTATTCTCTGTATAATAGGATCTGTACCTGCTGAGAGCTGATGTGTATGTTTGAGGTGCCACACGCTGCTGATACTGCATGGCCTGCTCTTCTTTGTGCTTCTTCCCTTTTATAGTTTCTTTGCTATCTCAGTTCCGCATTTTTTGCAACTTTTCACCCTTCTTCAAAAAGGGAATCTGGAATTTGCATGTATCAAAATGATCCACGTGCTTGTTGACCTTGGTTTGCCTTGGCTTTGGTCCAGTTGGCCGAGACTAAAATACTAGTACTCAGTATGTATGACTGTGCAAGTATCTCCCTCGGCCCTCAGTGACTGCACTCTGAGTCGTGAGCAGGGAGTAGTAAAAAGAATATTTCACTATGATTGTACTCCCTGGTCGTGACACTGTTTTTACTCCGAAAAGAGTCAGTCTACCCATTCAATTCAATGCCTGTGCTTGCACGTACGTAGTCTTTGTTTACCCTCTGTCGACTTTGGAGCCATCCTGGACGTGCTGAAAGGAAAGAAAAAACATACTACAGTACAGTACTTGAAGTGTTTCGCACAAGTCCATGATTGAGCTATCTATAAAATAAAAAAATTGTAGTAGTATGGAGGAGGCCGCGCCTTTCTAAGTTCTGCAAGCCGAACAAAAAATTAATGTGTCGACGCCCAATTACCATGATTACACAAAGAAAAGAACAAAAAGGGTAGCCACCACCCGGATTCGAACCGGGGATCTCCTGTTTACTAGACAGGCGCTTTAACCAACTAAGCCATGGCGGCAGCTACATTCACAACTAAAGTTTTGGGGGATTATAACTCTTTCTGGCGGCTTGTGCATTATACTGTACACGGAGTATGCTCAGCGTGCGCACGTCAAAGACACCGAGCTGCGCGAATACTCGGAATAGTACCAAGACTGCAAGAGTGCATGTTTATGGACTCTTGATAGTAGTACGGTATAGTACTCATAATCCGCCAAGGGCTCCATTATGCCAGTGATTATGCTGGAATTATGCCAACGATGGTGCTATACCCTTGCACTCTTGTTGCACTTTGAAGTCCTTTCATGCCAGGGCATAATTTTTTGACAAAATCCGAAGATGACGCCAGAAATTATGCCAGCATAATAATCCGCCAAGGGCTAACACCGAGCCCAAGAGCAGGGAGTTAGACTCAGATGCATGTGTTGTACATGTACCTGGTTTGAAAATTCGGCTCGTTGTGCCCAGGGAGTCCGCATGCGTTGTGGATCGTTTCAAAGCTAACAATTCTGTCACTGTCAGGCTTTGCAAAACGAGGCCAGGTTCAGCATTGAGCAAATTTGAAACTACATTATGGACATACATGTACCAGCTGTGATCCAAAATACTGCTGTACATAACGATGGAAAGATGTTTTCAACGATGACAAAGCTACATGCACATACATGTACATAGAGCTATAAAAACTGGACTAAACTACAAGTAACTCCCTACTTCGAGATACCTGATACCTAAAAATTCTCTGATGATAGTCTGGGAAACCTAGAAGCGATTTTCGGTAAAGTTGAAAAATGAAATAATGCGGCGCACTCATCATTCACGGAAAGAATTAATGGGAAACAATAAAACTGCTTGGTCTCAAGGTGGAAACAGCAGGAGTTGTTCAAACTAGATCCTCGACAGCAGAACTTTCTGACTCACTGCCATATATGTGCATCAGTGTGGGTGGTGCCTCACGTGCAACAGCACTGTCAGCATCACAAACTTCAACCAGAGGTGCATTCATTATGTAGCTGAGATTGCAAGGTGGTCGCTCGTCAGCACTAGTAGAAGTCACCAGGGTCACACAGTCACTGACATCACCTGCCATGGTGCTGAGTGCAGCACAGTGTGGATTTGTTCCAAAGTCATCAGAAGACAAGCTGGAGACTACATCCAGTGATATACCCTGCGACTCCCTGCTATCTGCAGGAGCACAGGCCGCAGCGCTGGGACAATCAGCGATGGGCGTCGTTGAGGTGTCCGCTACCATGGTCACGAGACATGGATCGCGCTGAAAATCATTATCTGCTAATAATTCAGAACATACAGACGTGCCCACTACATTGTCACAATCGTGCACAGAACTGCTACCAGTACATGTATTGGCACCGGATGACTCATCAGTTGATATGTGAGCATCTTCCATCTGCTGGTTCGTGCTGGTGGTCAATCCGACTCCAAGGTCGATCTCAGATTGCATCTCGTGGATCTCACCAGGGCAATCATCGAATGTTGGAAGACCAGTGCTGGGTAAGGCTGAGTAACCCCGACGCCGCGGTGTGTATGTTCTTACTACACCAATGAAGCCAAATAGAATGTGATAGGCCCCCAGGGCAAACGGAAACGCTGCCAGTTCGTAGAATCTTGGAAGGTGCTGCATAGCCATTAACACCAGCACCACCGCCAGGAGAAAGCAAAATAATGCAAATACTATTCGGTGAATGCATATTCGCTGCCATACTGCATTCCAAAGTTCTCCCTCTTCCAACTCCCAGCCATCGACAAAGAGATAAAGTCGGGATGGTGACTTCACAGCATTGGAGTTGTCCAGCACCAACATAAAATGATGTCCTTCAAACACCCACTCAATAGTGGGGCCAAAGCAGCCCCATCCCGGTTTCCGATTGAAAGAATCTTTCCACAGTCTCCCATGCGCCTGGACGCGTATTCCCAAGTCGAATCCAACTTGGAGATATGATGGCACAAACACAGCTACAACAGAGTCACTGCCTGGCAAGTTCCATGTTCTGTATGGCTTCATAACGACGTACACAGACGTGTAATATCGCCATCCGTTGTACTTGCAAGTACAGTATCAGCAATTCAGCATGCAGCAACCTGGTGCAAGTACATGTAGCCCATAATCAGGGCTGGGGTCAGGTCCACATACCCTCATCCAGCTGCAGATCCTGAAGACTGGCCGTCGCCTCCTTTCAACTATTGCATGTATGTATGAAGTATCAGCTAAAACTTAAAAGCCATGTATTGTTGCCAGTTTCCATTTAGCTGCTCGACAGGGAAACGTACACGTGAAGTGATCACAGAACACAAGCTCGGTGCTACGTCAAAACGCACTTGCTCAGCAAAGATAGGACATCAGCCTGATCAGGCAGTCACCTTACGGGTACAAATAGTTGAAATACTACAGTTATCAGAGAGTTATATTGCCTCGCACAAATAGATCGCCCAAATATTGAAATAGATCTCTGAGTTTAGGAAAGAGAACACAAAACTCAACAGACAACATAACATGCACTGTCTAGTAGCATGTCTGCAGTTCTGTGCTTGTTTGAAAAACTTTTTATTTGTGCACTGCACTCATGATCACTGTATGCAATGCATGTGCCTGTTGTTGTGTTGCCGGCGGCGCGATACGCACTGGGCGCGTGATGACGCTAGGGCACATATTCCATAGCAACCACCATGCAGGCTGACCATGCGCGCGAGCTCACCCTCCCACGTGCACACACGCTGCATAGCGCCTTGTTGTTGCGCAACGGTTCTTTTTTTTGCAGCCATCACTCATCAGTGCCAGTACGCAGTGACTAGTGGCATCATGCATCACTAGCACTCAGCATCGGGCATCATGTCACCGACTCAGCGCACGCTGTGGTCGGAGCTAGCTAGCGCCGCGTCATCGATCGCTAGATCTTCTGTTTCGCAAGAAATGCCTATTTTATGGTGCAACGAAGGGGTTTGGAGTGTAGAAGAAAACTCTGCTTTGTGCAGTGCTGTGTTTTAGACACTTTAGTTCGTAACTAACGGTTAGCTGTTTCCCTAGTCGATTCTTCGCGATGGGTGACGCCGAGAAAGGAGCCAAGATCTTCAAGCAGAGATGTGCCCAGTGCCACACTACCGAGGCTGTGAGTGCGCGCTTTGTTTGCTCGCCCGCCTGATCTTTTGATCTCGGCAAACACAGTGTTTCCTTCTTGGTGTCCAACTTTCAGGGTGGTAAGCACAAGACGGGTCCCAATCTCAATGGTCTTTTCGGTCGCAAGACTGGCCAAGCAAAGAATTTCTCCTATACGCAAGCCAACCAGTCCAAGGGTAAGCAAGTCTTTTGCGATATGAGGTGCTACCTCAGACGGAATGCGAAGTATAGTTTTTCAGGCCATCGCTGAAGGGGCACACCCCGCTACCACTACCAGTGACATTCAAGATGTAGCTGTGGCAGGTTTCTTCGCTCTGTCCTAGTCAAAGTACACCAGCTGTCGTTACAGGCCCTGCACAGTAACGGGCATAACGAATACTATTTCGATTTCTGCATCGTATTCCGCCGCCTGTAGACTAGCGGAGGAACGAGTTCGACTCAGTAACAAACGGATGTAGCGACAATTGACCGAATGTCAGATGGTCGTTGATGATTTGGGAAATTTTGGACGTATGTTTGAGTGACCCGGACCGAGTCTGCCTTACCGGTCTACCTTGTGCCTTGGGGATACAGTTATGCCTGCATGTTTCGATAAAAACATACTCATATGTGCGTCCCTGAAAAAGCGAAAGTAACGCATCGGTTGTGTTTATACTGTTGTAAATAATTTCTTTGTTCACCTCATTATTAGAAGCGACAGTTTCTGTTGAACTGATGCACCTGGCTCTGGGTATCCTGACTCGTGGCATTCATGATTCACAATTCATTTACGCCCACACGACAAACACTACTTGCTGTGAAGAAGGATTGGAAATTATTTCATGTACTCCAATGGAGTTTATGTACATCGTTTTTACTCCGTCCATTTGTGAGTAGCAACCAACACGGTACTAATACAATACACTAATATCTCTCTTATACGGGCAGTCCGGGACCGGGCATTGCCCATAACTTGGATATGTCCGTAACTCTGAATCACATACGTTTTGATGGGGAAATGCCAGAGATCTCGTATATGACGTGACTATTTCCACAAAAGTTGGCAAAAGAAAAGTAATATTTCCGCTGAAACCGAGTCGCCCAGAGGGTGCCCGGTAGACCGAGGTGCCCATAACCCTCGAGGTCCAGATAAGAGAAATATGAGTGTACTGTCAGGCACCAATGAACAGTATGCAGGAGAACGAACAGGCTAGGATTTCACCAAGCAAAGCATACCGATACGGCTTGACTGTCGTGGAATAGACTTTTGTGCGTGAAAAAAAACCCTACCTAGGCCTCGTACTAGTAGCAGGGTCAAACCTCATGAACTGCATAATGCATATACCAAGCTGCAAGATACTCATCCTCTAGTGTTGCTGAAATTAGACCTGGGTAGTGGTCGGCCGGCCCAGGGCAGACTGAAGGGCGGCTGTACCACCCACTCTCAGCTCTAGACCTGAGAACTAAAAGTTGTGCTGCCAAGAGTCCATACCCCCCCCCCCCCCATATATTATCGGTTATAGTGTGGTCGTATACAAGAATATACTGCCTACAAGAATGAACACTCATTTTTTCATAATCATAACACATATTTTATGTGTATATTTATTCTTACAAGCAGTATTATCGCATAGTAGAATATATCGGCCCTAAGAATGGATTTTGTGTAGCAAAATATGCCAGATTAGTGCAAAGTGTATCGCCTGTAGTAATAATATCTGTGCTCTGTGCATGCTCAATACAATAATATTCAACACAAAAAGAGAGTTACATGTATGTCCAAGGGAGCATTGGAGAATCACTTTTTTCTGTCCAGTCTCTTCCGACTTCTCTCGTATCTGCTGCTCCACAGTCGCCTATATAGCACGACTGCGAGTCTGACCCGTGTGTATCATGTGTACATGTACGTGTCCACATGCCAAACGTGCGCGCGTATGATAATTACATGTATGTCACACGTGCATTATGATATGTCATACGTGATTTATCGTGTGTAAGAAATATCGGCAATAAGAATCAAATGTCGTTTTTCAAACACCCACGCTATAACCGATACCTACTGTACGTGGGGTCCGGTATGGCGCCCTGCCCACACTATGTAACAACAGTGTGAACCGTGCGGTCCTAGTCAGTTTAGCCAGTGCGTCACTATTGATTCACTATGACTTGGACCTTCCAAGGATGTCACAAGTATTCCGCTTGGACTTCACACACAGGCATTCAGCGGCCGTGTCACGTAAATTTGCAATGCCGAAATTGTAGTATAGGTCAGAGCCAGCCAATCGGATCATCATTCCTCTGCACGAATACAAATAGGACGCAGCAAAGAGCTCCCGAAGCTCTTGCTTCTGCTGATACTGTACCGGGTCAAAGCTGGCACACAATATGTTTTTAGTTGTAGTTGACTCGAGTTATTTGACAGCCATGTGTGTTCGCATATTTGGATTCCTGTTTGCTATTATTCTGACGAATGGTGGTTTCCGCACTCTGTTTTGTGTTCCGTTTTGTTGTTTGCAGGCATTACGTGGGGCGAAGACACGCTATTTATTTACCTCGAGAACCCAAAGAAATACATTCCAGGTACAGTTAACACCTTCTGTTGCTTGAAGAGCGGCACTTGTGTTGATATCAAAACTTGACAAAAGCAACTGAAACAGTTAGAGTTACTCATACCAACAGCTTGGTGATGTGAACTGAAGAACGGCATTTTGCTTGATCTGTGTGGGTCTTTTCTTTTCCTCATTTAGGAACCAAGATGGTTTTCGCTGGTCTCAAGAAGAAGGGCGAGCGCAAAGGTAGGGTTGTCATCAGGAGCAGTCAATGTGAAGTGTGTGTGTCCGTATATGCGTGTGCATCCGTATTTGCATGTGTGCATGTGTGCATGTGTGTGTGTGTGTGTGTGTGTGTGTGTGTGTGTGTGTGTGTGTGTGTGTGTGTGTGTGTGTGTGTGTGTTTCAGTACTCCACAAAGTATACTCTGCTGCTTGTATGGGTGCACGACTGCACGTCGAAACTGAAGTTGAGTTTCAATAGTTTTCCATGACAGTCCAAAAGTAGTAGCTACCCCATGTGATGTTGTAATGCGTTTTATCTCACTGTGACATTATGGTGACTTGTAGATTTGCTTCCATTTCTTCCAAACCTCCCTGAGTTTCAGTCTTTTAGAGTATACCACACATGCATCCAATACACAAAGGGGAGCTTGTTCTCTGACGTTGTAGCTGTGGAACTTAGCAGTTCTGTGGTGCGTCTGTTTGACCTGTCTGCTTGTAGACCTCATTGCTTTCCTCAAGAAGGCGACAGCGGCGCCATGAGGAACTGTCCTCCAGTTTATCATCAACATCCTCTTCTCTCTACCTTCGTTCTCTATCACTCTGTACGGTACATCTAGTTTCTACTCATGCGCATTCTGTACTAGGGCATATGGCGTCTTTATTGATATTTGAACCCGAGAGGAATGCAATCCTACTTTCTCCACGGTGGTTTTGAATATCAATAACTTCTCCTCTTTCAATCTGCCATGCTAGTCTTTTGGTGTCTCTGGGGCTGCTGATGCGATTGGGTCGGCTACTTCTCTGCTGCGAGCCACCTGTAGTGCTGTTTTCTTCTTGATTCTATCAGCCTGTTCATAGACCACATCTTTTTAATTAGTGGTCTCTGCCCACTGTCCTGCACTGTAGGGCTTCAACATCCCATTGCCTTGAAATGGATGGTATTTATTTATAGGTATTCTGAGCTTGCTTCAAAGCTGCTGGCTTCCCTTTTTTATTTTTAGATTGGTTCATAATGTGTGTTCCATTATGTTCTAGTCATCCATCGCTGCTGCTGTGCACGGTGCTGTGGTGTGAACAGAGCTTGAAGAAACTCGATGTGATTGGCTATAAAACCCAGCAATTGCCACGGAAAGCGGTCAGTGGCTGTCCCTGGCCATGTATTGCTTGGAATAAAACTAAAACTCGATGCAGTGCAAAATCTGCCTTGCAGGGGGGGGGGGGGGGGGGCTAACTACTAGTTATCCCCAGTGGCCGGGAGGGGATGCATGATGGCTGCCCAGTATTGCCTGGCAACCCGTGTAACTGTTGTTGGGCTCGTGCAATAATGACTCTGTGCCTGGAGCGTTTGTGAATCCCCTCCACCCTTTTTGAGTACGCATAATTATGGTATACATGCCTGGTGTGACTCTTTAGCTTTTACTTCTAGTTGTAGCTGTAGCACAGTCCACCGTGAATGGCGTGATACGTACAGAAGAATAACAGAAGTTGGAGAGTCATACCCGTACTAGTTATACTACTAGGTACTATACAATGTAGTATGATCACACATTGGTACGTGGTATCTCGAAACCTCGTTTTTGAATCTGACGGAAGTGAGTTGTCGCAGGGCCTAGGGCCGTACCACCCTTATTTCGAAAAAGGTTGACCCGCCTATGCCCATTGGTGAAAAATGGGGTTTTCGGCAATAATGACTATCGGTATGTCCATTTCTGGGCAAGTACCGGTAGATCTACCCCCGGCCCATTGCATTGGGCCTGACTACCTGCAGTGCTACGGCCCGGCCCTGGCTTGAGTCGGATCCGCCCCTCATCACGGGCATTTCTGTCTGTACGCTCGTGTGTGCTGCATCGATGTTTGAAGTGGCTGCGCCGACGCTCGGCGCCGGCGGCAGTGTGCCTCAGTCATACACCAGCCGCTAGTACTGGCGCTAGATCACGATCTGCTGTACATCATGACTGACTGTATCGAGTGTATGCTACACTGAAATGCTAGCACTACACTTGAGGTGAGTAGAGCCAGAGCCCCGCGCCCCGCTCTAAAAAAGAACGTGAACTAATAGTTACTTCGTGAAGCCTGAAAAGGCTTGAAGTTGAAGTGAAGGACATCATTATCAGAAAAGAAAGGATTAGTCCCTTCTCAAACTGGGAAATTGGAGTTTTCCGCAGACCCGCCTTGGTTGCTGCTGTTGTTGGGCCCAGGACAATCACTGTGAGTGTGTTGCTGTGATGGCGAGCGACGTCCAAGATGAGGCGAAGGCATTGCGCCAGCGGAGAGAGGCGCACGCCAACCGGGAGAGGTATAGCCTCAACGGCGCTCACACTGTGTTCTCGAACCCGATGGCTCAGAGGAGCTCTGCTATGTACGGCGGCACTCAGCGCGACCCATGCCAGCTCTACGAGGAGAACATGCAGAAGTGCTTTGCATTGGCGTATAGGAAACATAAGCCGATCAAGCTCTACTGTTCTATGGAATACAAGGACAATGAAGAGTGCAGATATCAATTTTTACAGGTAATGACGGTCTGATGAAAGACATGAACCTTTCTTCATTATTGGCTTTTATCAAGTGTACGTAAAACATGGTTATGTACTCTTGGTATGTGTAGAACTTATCAACACACACATACACACACATGTGACAAACACACACACGTGCACGTGTGCGAGCGCGCGCACACACACACGTGCATGCGTGCGAGCACGCGCGCACACACACACATACATACACATGTGACACACGTGCACGCGCGCATGCGGGCACGCATACGCACGTACGCATGCGTGCGCACACACACACGCACACACACTCACACACACACACACACACACACACTACGAGATAGATCATGTGGAATTTCGACTCTGCATTCGTGCACACATGTCGAATAAGCATGCCTATACCGAAAAGAACAACACATGATGAAGGGCGAATCGAGACCACTAGGGAGTATTAGGGCATGTTCGATTGTGCGAATCTGTGGGCCCCGGATCCGGATTCGCCAAATCCGTACATGTTCGACTGCACGAATCCAGGTCCCACACTGATTCAGATTCAGTCAATCCTCCTCACGGAGCCAGATTCGACGTATCCATTTTGCATTCTCACATATCTACTGTATAAGTACAAAGTTTTCGTTTGGAATTAACTTTCGCTATGTTCGTTTGGGGGCACGAAATAACTAAAGTTTGTACCAAACTAAAGTTTTTTTTCCAAACGTTCGGGGTCACAGACCTCGACCAAAACTTGTGACGAAATTTAGTATGTAGCGAACCTGCTGGTGGAGTGATCTAACGAAAGATTTCGTAAACGAAAATTTACTCAAAAGTCCGAATATGCGTACACTACATGTAGCTCGAGAGCTCACCGTAATGCGTAGAGATACTACGGAATGGTACGGGATGAGCTGTAACGTGGTTGCTGAGGTCTTGAAATGGATTACCAGATGGTATCATTGCCAACGATGCACTCACAGTACACGTACATTGAACTGTGGAAGGTATACTTGAAGTACACTGTATGGTGTATAACAAGGCCATCAGACCAGGTCAGGCTTTCGGGCCATGGCCTGACCACTTTTCGTCCGAGGTGGTCCGCCCGAAACGTGGAAAACCGGCGTACAAAAAAATGCGAGTACCTAGTCATGGCAAGCCGATCTAGCCAGAACCGGTGCCATCGAGCAAGCCCATCGATCGATCTGTCCTCACGCATTTGAACAGCAGGTTTTTTTCCGACAGTCGTCTGGTCTAGTCTAAAGACGGTGCACAGACAAGACTTGTACTATTGTACTAGTATATGTACAGTGCCAATAGTGCCCAGAATGCAGATCTTTCACCCTAATTTCAAAAATTGCCCGGGGCCAGACCCCCTCCCGCCGAACCACCTCCAACTGAACATAATCATTATCGACCTGACCACTCATGAAGTGCTTCCAACGGGCCTGTATAATCTAGACATACTTGTATCTTTAAAAGTGCTGTACTTCTGAATCGAACCATAAGGGCCCTTTGTCCAGGTACACTGTATTGCATCTTGATACCGGCAACATCATTTTAGGTGTTTGAACGCACAATGACGTGTTGCATGTAGCCCCTCGATATCGGGTGCATGTTCTTGTACATGTACTGCAAAGGCGTTTCTATCAGTTTGAATAACAAGCATGATGCCCTACGTGTACACGTAGGTAAATACCAAGCATAGCGAGGGCTCTGAGCTGGCAGCTCTCTCGTTCCCGCGACATTTTGTGGCGGACGTTAGCTGCTTAGCAAAGCTAGGATCCAGTGCTTCTTGTGTATGTTTGGGCCGGCTATGTTCGCGTATAAATGTAGACGACTATACATAACGTAGTGTGTTGTATAAAAGCCTGTCTCATATAGAAGCCTATTTTGAATACAAGCCTGATTTTTCGAGATGCACTGTCGGCACATAAGCCTGGTTTTAGTATTGGCATCCATAGAAATACCTGTCTTGTATAGAAGCCTGTCTCATATAGAAGCCGGAAATTTCCCCCGAAAAAGTCATATAAGCCGCGGCTTTTATACACAACTTTACGGTAATAGTACATGATGATCAAGGGACGTAGGTCTCGTGCCAACGTAGCGGGGGTCCCGAGCCAAAGCAACGCCATGTTCACAGCACCGGTTGCTAAACATTCAGCCGTGTGGCAAAGTTCAATGGACAGCACTGTCCTGTCCCCGGGGAAAATTGCGGAAAAAAATGGCAAAAAACGCGGCATAATAGGGCATATTTTGCGGTAAATATGCGGTGAATATTATTGATATCATCTCGCGGCGGCAAGTTTGCAGTTGATATGAGGCAATTTTCAGTGAGTATGTAGTGAAATCAATCAGTTACAAGTCTCTGGTGTAAGCGCTCGTCATATTTGAGTACAAAGCCGCCACCGGATGAGACGTTGCTGACCGAACAGTGCACTGTGTGTACGTGTAGTGCAACAGAAAAGTTCAAAACACGCGGGAAAATCGCGGAAAACACGGTCTTCTAAAAAATCGCAAAAAAACGCGGAAAAAACGCGGCCGCGGAATCGCAATTTTCCCCGGGGACAGACTGTCCAAGCAAATTGCAGCCGACTTACAACGATGGTGTGCATGCAGCATGCGTGGTACACCCAACGGTATATTTGGGTGTTGCTACCGCGCATGGCCTGCGGGGCTCTTGACTGTTTCAGGTTGGAATCTACTGTGGAAAGTGAGCTGGAATTGTGTGTGTGTGTGTGTGCGTGCGTGTGCGCGCGCGTACATGCGTGTGTGCATTTCTACAGAAACTACGAGATGACGCTCTTCTCCAAAAGCAGCAGAAGTTGGTGAAGGAGGGAAAGTGGCCACCACCAAACCTACCAAAGCCGCTGGATCAAGATCGACCAAAGCTCAAGAATTATGCACCTGATGGTATACCCACATGGTAGATGATACTATTAGTCCCCATTTGTTCACTTTATTTAATCATTGACCTGGCCAGCCACGATAGACAATGTGCAATCACAATGTTTAGGTGCTGCATTTGATGACCTCAATGAGTACATGCGTGCAGCCCAGTGGTGGATCACAGAGATCGGTCCCGGACAGTGAAGAAATGACCAGTGTAGTGCGATGGTCTCAGCTGCCATTGTCGCGTGTGCGTGCGTGTGTATGCCACGCATGCATGTCCAGCTGGTCCTGGGATGTAGTCCATTTGATGATCTAGCTCTCGCTTACCCACAACTACCATTATTTGTACAAATAACTTGCTACATACCATTCGGGCATCTGAGGCATTGGGTATTATTATACATTTCATAAGTTTGCTTCCATCGCTGCATAATGCTACATTGATACTCTGGCTGGCTGGTTCTTTGTGAATAATTTTGACAATCCAATACGGATTCGCTAGTTTTTTTTTAATGTACATGTACATGTATAAATATATGTAGTACAAAACTTCTTTGAAACATCCCTTCTGTGCTGTGACTGGCTGCTCAGCTGCGGTGCATTTCAGTTTTGCTGCTGCCATGGAAGATACTAAAGTAGTAGGCAGTGCACTGCCGTCTCTGGTCCGAGCACTTGGCTGGGAGACATGATGGCGCCCGAGATCAAGTCAGCACACCAGCACACCACAGAAACCACCAGATGTACTCGCGGAGACCGGCCTGATGGCTACACCTCTTCGAGAAATAGATCAAACTTATAGTAGCAACTGCCTGGTGACAGTGGTCCCACATTCATTGTACAAGATAGCATGCATGCATACCAAGATACACCAAGACGCCATGTATCCACACGGTATGTACGTATTACTTCTGGTTCAAGTCAAAATAAGAATGCACATAGAAGCCACTGCAACCCTATTCCAAAGTAATAAAGCAATTTCACCCTTTAATTAAACTACTCTCCAACTACTGGGAAGTACCATTGGTAGAGCATTGCGTTGTCAGCAGTACAAGCTACCATTGTACTCAGCACAGCATAACGCCAGACTAGAACTCTTCGTCACTGCACAGCACGCTCGGCACAGAACTCCTCAGGCGGTCGCACCCACATGTGCCGACCGGCAGCATGAAAGCAGCAAGACGCCGACGCTGAAAGGACATTGACAAGACTTTCACCCACAGGCAGATGGGTGGGTGCAAAAAAACGTTCACACTCTCAATTTGCCTGTAGCCGCTGCCTTCATCTGCTTCTTGAATTGAACCATCTTCATAGCTTCTTCCTCCTTGTGGTCTCTCATTCTTTGCTTGTTCTTTTGTTCTGTAAAGTGAACGCAAAAAAAAAGAGAGAAGACAGGGTGAGTAAAAATACAGTAAAACCTGTCAAGGCGACCACTCAGATAAGGCGACCAACTGTCCAAGGGGACCACTACCACCAGGACCAAGGGTTGTCAATTTCAGTCAAAAGACCCTGGATAAGGAGACCACCTGGTAACAGAGACCGCGTGTTGAAGGTCCCTGGAGCGGTCGCCTTAAACAGGTTTCCCTGTAACATGAAGCTACCAGTGCAGAGTGCAGTCCTGCAACACGTCAGAGCATGAACGTGTACAAAACACTGTTGACTACTGAGAATATAATTATTTTCAATACGTCACAGTGAATACTGCACGAGATCCTCACCTTGCAGGAGGTCTGCGAACACTGGCATCTTGGAGATACCAGAGCGCGCTACTTTCAGTCGCTCTTGCATACCGCTCAGAGTCAGCGCACTACTCTTGGCCACTTCTTCCTTTGGCAACGACTCGGGTGCTGAATAAGAAACGCACACATACATGCACACACACACACACACACACACACACACACACACACACACACACACACACACACACACACACACACACACACACACACACACACACACACACACACACACACACACACACACACACACACACACACACACACACACACACACACCCATGATAAGGCTAGATTTATAGCAAAAAATGCAATACTGCAAACCAGTACACTATACACCTGCAACACAATCTTTCAAAATTACGCATAAAACATCTATTCGAGGGGAAATCAGTGGAGAAGTTGTCAGTCACTGCAGCTTTCCTGAAACAATTTCAACAGAAAAGAACTGCGCTGCCTAATCCGCGTCATGAAAGGCCGTTGGACAGCAGCACGTCGTTCTGAAGAACGGAAGTGGAGCAAAGACATACTTGTAGACAATATTTACGACAATAGGGCTTGAAAGTGCTACGTCACAGCATAGCAACAATTTCAAAAATTCAAAAATTGGATCCACTTGGATCCAGTTTTTGTATGGATCCAAGCACATTTCAAGCCGTCTTACTCACAGCAAGGTGATGTAACCAGTGAAACCGACTGATTTGGCTACTGGGGGCGGGGTTACAACTGGTGGCGAAGTAAAAGTCACCCCTGCATACGACATGAGTGGGTTGCTATGCACCCACATACTGAGGCAATAGCAAAGTCACACCTTAGTGGATCCAAAATAGAAATCTGATGTCAACTTACTACTCCCAGGCCGTTTTTGACGTCATCACTTTCAAGCCCTATAGCGTTGTTGTGCGCCAACATATCCGCGCACGAGCTGGCGCGGTAAGAAAGGCCATCGAGATCCGCGAAGAGAGTCAGCCACCTGGAAGAAGTCGTCTTCAATCAAACCTTTGCAATTAAATTTGCCTCGCACGGGCTTGAATCAAATTTCGAGAGAAGGTGGGTTTCTTGAGAGCTATAGTCGATCCTGCTGCGGACCATCGATCGATTTTTGAGCTACTCTTGGCTAGAGAAGGAGAAAAGAATGAAATTCGAATTACAAGGATAGCAACTCAATCTCACTTCGAAATAAGCGTTCAAAGGACATAGCCAATGTACTGCAAACAGCTCTTCTGTACGAAGACTGGGTTCGAATTATCCAACCGGCGCACTTTTCGTACTTCGAATTATGCATTCGATTTTGACTTGAAGTGACTTGCATGCATGCAGAAGATCGGTACGACGAAAAAGTTCGAATTACACGGAATGTTCGAATTATACCGTATTCGAATTAGAGGGAGTCTACCTGTAGTATCATAATGTGTTGTTGGTTGATGTACCCTGTAAGAAGACCTTAGGGTCTGTTGGGAATGCCCAAGTAAAATTATTAAATTACTTACAAAATACAATAGAAAAATCTAATACTAGTATAAATGTAATGTACAGTGCTGCTCAACGAAATCCAGTTGCGTCACTCAAGTACACGCCGGGCGTTGCGCAGCCCTAGATCTGCAAACACTGGGCTGCAAAATTGGTGCAGGGCGCAAACTTGAGCGACGCTACTGGATTTCATCAAGCAGGACTGTATAAGCAGAAATCTTCGCCAGGACTTTTGTTCTCCATTTCATCCTAGGAGTTTGGGGCTAAATTACAATGTGGGCCAGTGCTTCGGCAATTGCACGAGGTCCCACATTCGCCAAGTTTGCCGAGGCTGCCTCCCAGCCTCCCAGTGCAAGGGTAACACCACCAGCTCAACCTCGGGAGCGGGTGGGAAATCCAAGCTATAGTGCTGCCAACAACATGCCGGCCTTCAGCGTCCAGTGCGGCACTAAGGCCACCATCCACCGCACACTGCACAAAACTGTACACACTGTTCATACACCACTGCATGTTCCTCGTTATGCGTCCATGCTTGCTTCGCACCCCGATAAGCAGTTTGTCAATTATATGCACCGGCCTTGCCCACGGCTCTCTGTTCTCTGTTGGCTTTGAGGGCCAGCGTAAGACGGTGGTAGCCCCGAACCTCACATCTCCTCATTCCCAACATATTTCTGACTATCTCCAACGCTGCTGCGAGGACGGTATGACAGCTGGTCCCCTTGCCACACCACCAGTTAACCCCATACAGTCGGCTGGGCTAGGCATTGTGCCGAAGAAACACGGCTGTCTGCGTGTAATTCACCATCTGTCGGCACCGGAAGGTTCCAGCGTGAATGACGGCATACCAGCAGAGAAGTTTAGCCTGAAGTACATTATACATCCACGTAGACAATGCAGTACATGCCATCATGTCGGCGGGCCGCGGCGCCCAATTGACAAAGCTCAACGTCTGCAACGCGTTCCACTTGATTCCAGTCTCCCCTGACAACTGGCCGCTGTTGGTTATCCATTGGCAGAACCAGTACTACTTCGAGAAGATCCTACCGTTTGGTCTGCGTTCCAGCACGTCCATATTCAACCAGGTTGCGGAGGCCGTCGAGTGGATCTTACGGCACCAGTTCGCCATTCCGATTATCATGCATTACCTGGATGACTACCTGTCCTTGTCTGCGCCTTGCCTGTCCCTAGCAGTAAAGCAGCGCTCTACCATCGAAGACGCCTTCAAATACCTCGGCATCCCGCTGGCCATGGAGAAGCTGGAGGGCCCTGTGAGAGAGCTGACATTCCTTGGCATCACCTTGAATTCTGACCGGTTCGAAGCACGACTACTGGATGAAAAGCTGGTAGATATCAAACACCTTGTCCTAGAAGCCAGCACAACTCGCTTCAAATCTGGCGCTCCGCTGACCCGCCATCGCCTCACGGATAAACTGAGAGGCCTCCTGCAGTTGGGGGGACTAATGCAGCTGAACATAGTGGCCACTCCTTCAGGATAGGTGCGGCGACAACAGCTGCTGCAATGGCGTTCCCGGGTGGAAAACCTGGGCAATGGGCAGGTGGCAAAGTGACAGTGTACATTCGCACTGATCCGTCGGACCTGCTGTCCATTTCCGAGGCTCTCCACAGTGGGCCTGTCTAATTGCGCAACGTGCCCGGTGTTCACGTGTGTGTGTTGCTCGGACTCTTGTCAATGTCCTCTTTGTCTTTATCTCATGCTGTCTCAACACACAAACATGCCTCTTCACTTCTGTGTCATTGCCTTATTCTCTGGACGACCTCTCTCATTCGCAGTTTACAGAACTATTCACACACCTGCTTCGGTACGGGAATGGTGGCCGCTGCACTTTGTTACCCATGGCAACCGCTCATGACGCACTGGGCAAGTTGACAGCTTTTGTGCCATCTCATCTTGCTGTTTGTGTGCAGTGATGCATTCCTCAGCACGACAATGGCGGGTGCATGCCATCCTACTTCGGGCGCATATAAATACCGCTTCCATAGCTTGGATTCACCTAAAATTTGACCAGTACGGAGCGTTTCGGATACTGATCCGATTAGTATATCACTCATTCCACTGATTTCAAGTTACAATTTTCGTCTGATATCGCTACTCTCGGTTTCCGTCCCTCGGGCGTGACTATCCACTCTTGGCTCTGCCAAGACTCCTGTTCTGGTAGTGACTACCTGGTCGACCCCTTGACCTACCTCTGTAGCCTCTCACTCCGCTGGCCAGCACCCCCATACTGCAAGCAGTTGTGTGTGTGTGTGTGTGTGTGTGTGTGTGTGTGTGTGTGTGTGTGTGTGTGTGTGTGTGTGTGTGTGTGTGTGTGTGTGTGTGTGTGAAAGAGAGGACGTCGGGTCATTTCCATGATGACACGCCTCTTCACCCCCCAGTTAAAAATTACTTTGCCGTACTTACAGGGTTTGACGGGCTTGGGCAAGTTCAAGAAGCTGGAAACCGCGTCCACACGTAACAGTAAGCTAAGCAGCAGTGTAATGCTGGAGTTCATTAGAATGACCATGACCGAGGCCTGCACAGATGTGTGCACACATATTGCAAAGGGCAGAAAGAAAGAATGCTCGCACGGGATCGTCGAAAACGTGTCTGCCAAGAGCACCTAGCGAACAGGGAATATCTTAGCATGCAATGGATACAGCGGCGTCCATCAGTGCTATTCTTAGTATGCAACAGAAAATCTACATCTTAGGTTGGAGTTGATGTGCGTGTACATGCATAATGGCACACACATACGTGTACGAGTATAATGTACATGTAGATGAGCTGCTAGTCTTGAGATAGGTACATTCGGAATACGCACTGCAAACGGATGGCTTATCCTAAGCTACTACGACCCGTATGCTTCCACGACAATGGAATATAGAGTCTGGACAAGTACATGTACAAGCTACAAACACGCTTACCGCTGGAAGGAAGCAAAAGACAACACCAGAAAAAGCCAAGGCACAATATCCAAGTGCTCTCTTTGGCGAGTTCACCAAAGCACTTGCGCCCAACTCAGTGTTCGACTGCAAGTGGTGGAGAAAGAACACGACGATGACAACGACAACAACAACAACAGTCGTGAGAATAAAGAATTCAAACAAAATTCAAAAACATCAACAGCAGCAGCAGCAGCAATGGAAAGGTAAGGACCTTAACTACACCTTGTTTATCTGGGTGGTCCGAGACCGGGCACTGCCCATAACTTTGAAATGTCCGGAACTCCGAATCACATACATTTTGATGGGGAAAGGGCCATAATGGCCTTTTCCCATATGGCATGTGACGTTACTATTTCCACAAAAAGTGACAAAAGACTAGCACATGTAATATTTCCACTGAAACTTGCTCAAAGAGTGCCCGGTAGACTGAAGTGCCCGTAACTTCGGGGTCCGGATAACCGAGATGAGTGTACCTCGAAGTAGCTTGAACCGGAAAGAAATCACCATGGGAGAAGATTGAACTGGCCTCGACGTCAGTGCAAACAACCGCCACACAGAGGACAGTGCATTTGTACATGCGAGTTTTGACAGCAGCTTTCGCCCATCACGTGACTTTACTGAACTCCCTACTCAAATACGGGCATGTCTCTCTCTACGGGGCACCTTCAGCTTGCTTTGCTAAAGCAAAGTCGAAGGGTGGGGGGGGGGGGGGGGGGGGTGGGGGGAGGTGTGCACTCACTTGCTCATATTTTTTTTAACTCTTGTGACTGCCGACGGTTGAACCGACGATGAGTGTGCCCCGAGCTACGGGCAGTGCCCGGTCCCAAGGCGCCCGGATAAGAGACGTTCGAGTGTAGTCCTAAAATAAGCGCATCGGGGGCACAAGCCAATGAAAACGTGCTATGGGCGATATCCAGCCTTGGCGACAATAGGAGGGAAAGAATATGATAAAAATGAAAGTGGGAACAGAAATGTACGAGAAGTGTGTCCAGGGGGCAGAAGTAGAGCAGGATATCACTTGCAGTGCAGTACAGGAGTGGGGACTGGGCCCCCTCAGGTATCATGCAGGTGCTGGTGGGACATTTCAGCACCGGCAGTACCAATGCCTCTAGTTGAGAGAGTGGAGATAGCCAAGCTTATTGTTTTGTTTTTCTTGCCATGCACTTGTTTCTTGCCTAGATGTGTGCAGCTCCTTCTTTATCCTCTGTTGATCAACTTCACCATGCCATACTGCCTGCCATCCGGCAGCACAGGTAAAGAGTAGGGATCTTTTGATCGACTTTGATCTAAAAAACCTGTACACAATCACATTAACTCCAGAAGTAGACTTACCATCACCAAACCCAGGATGAGCGCAGTAGACATAGCCGGTAGTATAAAGTAAGGATCACTCGCCGTTAGCGTGGGCAGCCACAGAAAATGCCCATTAGCCAGCATGCCATAATCAACGTTACACATCCTGCGCACTCCGAAGAATACAAACGTGATCGGGAACTGCATAAACAGTGGTACCATGCCCTTGAAGGCTTCGGCCTGCAGTTTCACCATCTCCGCACGTGCCTCGTTGGCCTTCTCGACGGCATTGACGGACTGGTAGTATTCAAAATCCTTGCGGACCTTAGTGTGGCGTACCTGGCGCGCTTGCATGACGGACTGCTCGCGCTTGCCTCGGATATAGTAGGGGATGCTGGGCAGGCGCATCAGCAGGATCAGGCCAAACAGGGATGCCACAACAGGAAAGTGCAGGTTATCTGTCAAGTAGACAAACAAGTGTTGTAGCCAGCCGACCGGAGTCCAATGACTGCCCAGGCCGAATGCCTCCAGGTTGGGTGTCAGTGCGTCGGCCGTCCACTTTGACGCAACAGTGAAATCAACCATGTCTGAATTGACAGGTACAAACGCGCCCTCATTTGTAAATCCAGTGACGACCTCCAAAGGCTCTGGCTCCGGCTCCACAAGAAGTGGTGCAGATGGCTCTGCCGATGCCGCCGTGGACTCTCCAAACGGCCACAACCATGATGGAAGCTGATAGTTGCGAGATTGTACACAAATCGGTGATGGACTAGCCTGAAAGCACACATCCCAACACACGCGAGCACACACACACACACACACACACACACACACACACACACGCACACACACGCACACACACGCACACACACGCACACACACGCACACAAAGTATTGACTGCACCACTGTGTGTGCAAGAAGCCTGGAGTAGCAATACTGTTCAAATCGTGCATTCCTTCTGCCTTTTAACATCTCTTGCACTTTCTTCTATTTAATCATAGCAGGACACACAGTAGTCAATGCGCAGACACCCGTCAGTGGGAGCACCTACCACTTGCCTCGAAAACTTCACATCTTCAAATCAATCAGGAGTTGAACTCGCCTAAGGGCCGATTTCCACTACGGTACCGCGAGTGCTGTGCCGTGAGTACCCATGGTGATCTGCTCACGTGAGGGGCAGTTTTGGCGAGAGTTCACTCCGTGGCTCCTGCCGTACCGCGCCGTGGACATTCCGGTGCTGAGGGCCTCTGGGGGGTGGAAATGGCATGCCGTGGTATTACGCGAGGTCGAATGCAGGGAGTAGTAGGTATTTTACTACTCCCTGAAAGGAAGTTTTTTCTTTCTTTTGTATTTCAGGTACGAAGTTTTTTCTTGGCTTTTGGCTTTTCGATTGGTTGATTCTTGAGCTTTCTCCAGTCATCTCCCCCGCTATTTTCCCTCAAGACCAAAGTCAGAAATTGATAAAAAAATGGTGATCCGGCCTGCCGAAGGAATGCACGGAATGACTGTGCGCAGGTGTAAATCACTCTCAGCTTCAAGCTCGTACCGTGGGGTACACGTGACCTACCCAAATCGTCGGCACGGCACTCACGGTACCGTAGTGGAAATCGGCCCTAAGGGGGAAAGTGGCATGGGGAAGATAACTGTGGGTCAAATGGAGCCGTTCCTGGTCGCTAACCCATTCCACACAGGAGCTGCTACGATGTCACAGCACATGTGTGAGCACGATCAAAAATTCCAACAACAATTTAAAACGACACATGCACCTGATGTGCAACGTATAGATAAAGACGTGCAGGCAGTCTTTCGTACTGATAAGAATTGGTCACAATTACACACCAATCATACGTATGATTTAGTGGTGAAACGAATATTCGAACATTCGTTCGGTTTGTCACATTCGAATATTCGTTAAATCACATTCGAGTATTCGTTACGTCACTTCGAATGCAGTGCCTGTACATACATGGACGCCGAACACGGTGCAGTGCGTACAGCCTGCCTGTGACTTTGTACTGCATGCATGCACATGTATGTCCATACTGGACTGCCAATGTTGCACATAACATTTATGAACTTCGAAGTAGCCTTATGTGGATGTGGCAGTATATTTTACGTGGCACTACCGTTTGTCATACCTAATAATATATTAGTATTGACAATATCCATCAAATGACTGAGAGGAGGGCATGTGATGTCATCTGTGTTACCAAAAGAATATTCGTTCATTCGTTCGTTAAGCTGAAGAACATTCGACTAGTAGGTTTTGACATTCGTTTCACCACTAGTATGATTGTATGAACTAGTAATTCAGAAGTTGATCTTGAAATCGAGAAACTGAGGATATTCATGCAATCAATTTCCAAACATACTACGAAAGGCACTAGTCATATGGAAGTGTACACGACCCACTGCAAGACATGTTCACGTCGCCAAAACATTAGCATGTGTCAGTAATGCAGCATTGCTGAATTCTCACCAGATATGATTCCCTTCTTCTGCAGGTGAAAGCAGACGTGGCTAGGGCAGGCCTGGCAGCCAGACCAGCTCTTCCAGCTAACGTGCGGGATGCACGCAAGGCATGCAAAGCCATTCTTCCCAAAACAACGACCTTCACAAGCCTGACCTCCCCTACATCTTCCACCCAAACTCAGAAAACACTCTTCAAGCTGTAGACTATGTTACTGTACTGTGTACGTGTAGTTGTCGAAGCTACCATCGATTCGAAGATGTTTCGCGATTTTTGACTTTTTGTTTGACTGTAGAGTGTGAAAAATTATTTTTCTCATTTTGTACGCAGGTAATGGCCCACAGGCCAGGTACAGTACTGGTTTGTGTGTGACGTACATCCATGCCCGGCATGCTTGAATCTCAGCTCTCAGCAGAACGGCCCGGCGCAGCATATCTCGTCAAAGTGAGCGATATTGCATTTCGATACACCATGCTTTGTCAAACACGTTTGTGAGTTATCGAGATGCAGTTTCAAGTACTGATTATGTTCGACTTGTAACGAATTTCCTGGTGTCCATTCTTCGTAGTTGTTTACTGGGTGACCGCCATGGAAGCGCAGTGACTTTGCCTTACTATGCTGGCAGGTTGCTGAAATGGATGATTCGACCAGTCGTGGGTAGGTTGAAATTCTCTTCTAAGAATTCTGTGACAAATATCTGACTAGATTGCTTTTTTTGAATCATTTTTTGAATTGTCCATTGCAAATGCATACTGAAAATGGAAGCATAATCCAAAAGCTGCACACGGAGCTCCCAGAGCGAAGTGCTTTATGTTCTCCGCCTCAAGAACGATCTAGAACGATCGAAATGTGAAAAGAAACCTGTATTTATAATAGGGTATGTTGGGGCATGTTTGATTGGTCAATCCGGATTCAGGTCAGATTCACTGGAGCAGTCAGAACCACAGTTCCCAATCAAACAGAACAGCGAATATTTTTGCCAGAAATATTGTAGAACTCATGATAGCTCATCGTGCCGCGAAGTTCAAAATTTCCACACACTTCAAAGACTGTTACGTTGCTCAGGATGCAAAGGCAAACCAAACTAACTTGAAAGGCAAATACAACCAGAGAAGAAGCTTCTAAAACAAACAAAAATTTAATCATGAAAGTGGAGACCACCGTGCAATGTGCCAATCACACGTAGACCTCCATGTACATCACCAAAGTTATTACATACTCCCGGTCAGGTTTTCATTGGGCTTTGCAACTTGCTCTGGCTTCTCCAGCCTTGGGGGTCGGAGTGGCCAGAACATGTTCCGAACACTCCAAAGTCAGTGCAGACCAATCCAACACTCCTGTTCCAGATCCGACCAATGAAACGCGCCCTTAGTGTCGTTCAGGTTGCATACGCATCATGCACTGTGGTTTGCAAGTCCAGGTCATTTATTTGTTCGGGAAAGCAAAAAACTAGGACTTCATAGAATAATCTGGTTTTGAAAAGGACATGAATTTCGCTCCATCACTATTCTCATTTTCCAGATTTTTCAGTAATAATAGGATTGATCATCTTGATGATGTGTTGAGTGCTTAAAGGGGAAGTTAAGGCAAAAATTAAAATTTCACCAGTTGTAGTCTTCGGGGTGCTGAGTCGAATGGTCGTGGTCCGAGGAAGCTGAGACGCTCCCTTCCTACTTGAATCCCAATCGAACTCGCGCACTTCCACCGAAACTGGGTGACTGCGCCCTACTAGATGGGGATTTGTATGCAAAATGTCACTAAAAGCGCCATTTCGTTCTTATAAAAGCATGGAGGACCGCGATTGGCCCATATGTTGTAGTCTTTTGGACGCTGAGTCGATTGGTTTTGGTCCGAAAAGGCTGCGATGCAGCGTTCCTCCTTTATTCCCAATCGAACATGGTTGAAGAAGCGGTCACGTGCTCCTGCGTACGCCAGTCACCTGGTCACCGTGCCTGCAGGGTACAACTTACTAGCCTGTTTGACCTTTTTTGGGTGCAATCCTGTCACTCGAGTTGAACTCGAGTTGAACCTTGGTGTGAAAGTTCTCGCCTGCTGGCGTGGTGACCAGGTGATTTGGGCACACAGGAGCACGTGACCGCTTGTTCAACCATGTTCGATTGGGAATAAAGGAGGAACGCTGCATCGCAGCCTTTTCGGACCAAAACCAGTCGACTCAGCGTCCAAAAGACTACAACATATGGGCCAATCGCGGTCATCCGTGCTTTTATAAGAACGAAATGGCGCTTTTAGTGACATTTTGCATACAAATCCCCATCTAGTAGGGCGCAGTCACCCAGTTTCGGTGGAAGTGCGCGAGTTCGATTGGGATTCAAGTAGGAAGGGAGCGTCTCAGCTTCCTCGGACCAAGACCATTCGCCTCAGCACCCCGAAGACTACAACTGGTGAAATTTAAATTTTTGCCTTAACTTCCCCTTTAACGCTAAACTGGCCGTGACCTTGAAAGACATGAACATGTACAGGATCCTTTTTTTTGGTCGCGCCTGGAAACGCATGTATTTCGTGGTAGCCCGCATGCGCGTATCTCACGCGTCTAGTCCTCTGTATTGACGCACGCTTGGTTGCGAAATACCTCGGATGCCGATTCTTTCTCCTGTTCCATGGGGGTACGCCATACCAGAGTTCCACTTTAGGGGCCATCCGTAATTATCGATCTTTTTCGCTAAGAGAAAAAGTTTCGGTTATGGGTGGGTGGGTTGAGGACAGTTTTGTTTTGAAAATTATTGATAGCTGAAGCATCAATCCATTCTAGCTGTCCAGTCAATATATTTTTCGTTGAAGGAGGTGGGTGGGTGGGTCATATCTAAGCTTTTTCGTTCCGTGAAAATTATCGATAATGCCGGATGGCCCCTTACTAAATATTTTTTTCTGCCTAGCCATTATTGTTGAGACGGCTTTCCCTGATGAGTGTCTCGTGAAAATCACTTTTGGAAATTTCTTGATTCGCATCATTTTGTCACTTCAACATTCAATGTCCGCCTCCCTTATACCATTGCTGTAATAGGACTTCTTGCCTCAGTATCCGAGGTAAAACTTACCACTCAGGTGAAAGTCCAGTAGGGTTGGTATGCATGCAAGCTCTCTAAGCTGCAAAGTTACACTCCGGCACAGATGCCTCCTTCTCACTGCCATCAGCTCGCGCATGAAGTCTGGCCGATGCATGGCTGGTGATGTCGGACATGGCGGGCTGGTATATCAGGTTGCTCTTGGCACATATCGGTAGAAGATGACACAGGCACAGCTATGACGTGGCTCGATTGCGACGTACGTTTCGTCCCCAATCCTCTTCTTAGACGTCTTCGGAAAGAGCTTGACTCGGGGGGAATGAAATTGAAGACTCCACGGCAGCTTTATTTATTGTTGAATAATAATGGTGGTAAAGATACACCTAGCGAAATGGTGGTAAATTCACGCCTACTCACACACGCTCTCTAAGCTGCAAAGTTACACTCTGGCAGAGCTCTCCTCCTCGCCACCATCACCATCAGTTCATGGCGCCTGGTTGATGCATTGCTGGTGGTATCTGACATTACAGGCTAGTACATCAGGTGAGAAGCAGTGAGGTGTGAGAAGGAGAGCTCCGTGTCAGAGTGCAACTTTGCAGCTTAGAAAGCTGGTGTGCGTGTAGGCGTGTGTTTACCACCATTTCGCCAGGTGTGTCTTTACCGTGTACTGAGAAATGGGTCTTTTAGTTTACTGCCATATTATTCAATTCAAGTGAATATACAGTACAACCTGCCCTAGCCAGATGCACTCGGTGCAGCGGAAACTGCCCTGATATGACAGGATTCCGCTTGATCCAAGGACGCGCGTTTGATCCACAGCACTTTGGTGCATGAAAATATGTCGTCAATACAGGATTCCGCTTGGTACGGGGTCCAGCAAACACAGTTTTACTTTATTGAAAAGATGTGGCATAAACCTGAAAATGGGGCGTGACTTATACTCAGGGAAATATGATATTTGTGTACCCAGGCTCAATATGGGAGCGTCGATCTACTGTCTCACAGTTTGAGTAGAAGTATTTGATAATTTTCGTGCTAAAAGTGATAGCTCTACCAGGGTCTACCTTCTCTACCAGGGCCAGTAGCTGCTACGTGTAGGTGCTGGTGGAGTCTGCAGTTTGTACTAAGAAAGTGTGAATATCAGTACATGTACTGGATTTTAAATACTGAAATTTGTAGTAGAGTCACTCGCACAGCTTCACAATACTAGTTTTTGCACTGAAATAGAGTAAACTGGTAGGTCTTCTTCTATCAACGGAAGCAGGAGAAAAAGTATTTTTTCGTTTTGAAAGCGGCAAAGGCACGAACTTGCTCAATCGCAGGGCAAGTTTAGTGAACCCCTGCCTTGTTCACGCAGCCACAGACTCGCAGTGCATGCCTCGTGCGGTATGCAGTGCTGCCAAACCGTCCGATTTTTCGGACAGTGTCCGATTTTTGAAGGCTCTTCCGAAAACCGGTCCGAAAAGGGAAACGTCCGAAAAGCAGCCAAAATGTCGGAGATCATTACTTTCCTATGCAGAAGTCCTGTACTTTCACTTTTCAGCGCAACTGAAGGCACAAATCACTGTACATTTGCTTCTAAAAAGGCTAGCGTTTGGCTGTGGAAGTGCAAAGTAACATGCCTGGATCAGGCTGGATGGCATGTACACTGACAGTCTGTACAGAGTCAGTGTGCGACCACACTCATCTTTACAAAATTCATGACAACTCTGGGGTTACCATGGCAACGAAGCGAATTATCATGGTGTTTTAGGCGATATTTTGAATTCTCTGTAAAAAATTTGCCGAGGAGAAAAATTCGCACCATATGGCCAGCCTTGGCGGTGAAGGGTGTCCGATTTTGGGCGAAAATTATTTGGCAGCACTGGGTATGACTCATGATCTCCAGAAAAGATGACGTCAACGAAAAATTCTGCCGTGGGCCACCGCAAGGGGAGTTGATACTGAAGTACACGTGTACATGTACATGACTGTATACATGTATAGTTGCCAGATGGTCACAAGAAAACATGGCCTGGACACAAGTTCTGGCTGCACCTACAATTTGTGCTAAAGTTCTTCTGTTCCCCATGGTGGATGGGTGGGTGTGTGTGTTTGTGCGTGCGTGCGTGCGTGCATGCGTGTGTATGCATGTGCAGCAAAACAGCAAGGTCAAGTCCGGAGCTCGATTTGTACGGTGACTTAGTGAACGGCGGCACAGTCAATCAAGATCCAGAAGCAGTACGTAGCCCTTGTATGCGGTATGCGGTGTGAAAGTTTTGTCTATCTATGTACATGTAGAGCTCACTGACTTGTCAGTTTTAGCACTCTGGCAAGGTACGTTCGGGCCTGGTTTAAATATGGCTTTGGAAAATTTATTTTTCATTGCTATCAGGTTCGGCCTCATTTTCTCTGTGCTGCGCTGATCAGTCCACAAAGGACGAAACAGTTCTGTTCGCAGATTGAGTACATGTACGTGTACATGTATGCTTGCTTCAGGTTAGTGCTGTGTGCATGTAGCTAACCAGAAACTTTATTTTCAAGTTGGCGAGTGTATGATTGAAACACTGTGTGTGTGTGTGTGTGTGTGTGTGTGTGTGTGTGTGTGTGTGTGTGTGTGTGTGTGTGTGTGTGTGTATGTGTTTGTGTGTGTGTGTGTATATTTTTCCGTCCCCCCCCCCCCCCCCCCCAGTTAAGTCGTCAACTAGAAGAACAGAAGGCCAGATATGCAGACCTCGATGTCAAGGTGAGGCAGTGCTGCTTGCATTCACATTGTCCGGTGATGAGAGTGCATGTAGTCTTCTGAAGTTCACGCACGCTTTCCCTAGCACACACACACGCACGCACACACGCACGCACGCACGCACACACACACACACACGCACACATAGTGACAGTGGCAAAATGCCTGCTTGGATTATTGCGTAGAGTTTTGTGGCAACTATGAGACAAAAATGACTTCACGAAGGCATGCTACCGAACTCAGGTTAGCAACTGAGGCAGCCTCATCAGCATTGCCAACTTGTGCTGAAAACCCAGCCTTCCTCTATAGAGGTCTGTCGCCAAACAAGGACAACCTTAGTTGCCTAATTTTGTGTATTTTTTCTTCTATCAAAGACCGAAAATCCCATTCCCATTCCCATTCACTGCATCCATGTTTCCCTCCCTGATCTACTCACCTCCCACCGCTTAGGAGCTGCTTCTGTGCCATGATCCAAGAGGGTGGTGGCGTTCCTGCGGATGCGGAAAACTGGGCCTTTGGCCGAGTCTCACGCGAACCGTGAACTTTTTTTCTTCTTCTACCTTTTTTGTTATTTTTCAGTAGGTAAGACGAAAGGCTTGGTTTTGTCTGAGACTGTAAATGAGTGGTTTCACCCTCGACGTCGAGTAGTACTGGGTGATAGCAAATTCTGTCAATGCGCACATTGAGTCAACGAATGAGTAGAATAGTTTGCAATGAAGCTCCACTGCAGTTTATTCTTGTATATTAGACCCCACCCTTTAATAGCAAACAAAACGTTATGTTGTAACGGTATTGCCGGACGGGGGAAAATACCGAGATTTGGGTTCGACCTTTAGCAAGGCGCACACTAATTCTAGTACGCTTTTGCCATGAGAATAGCTTTTATTTCGCGCTGTACGACCATTTATGGCGCCATATACGCGATACAAGGTGAAATGGGTACGCGCTACGCACTATTTGGCCAAAAACGTACCGTTTGTCACAACGATCAATCAGCCCCCATAACGTTTTATGGGGGCTGCAGCTTCAACGCTATATGAGTGGTCAAGGTACGAGTACCGTAAAAGAAAATAGCGTTACCGTTGTTTCCTAGGGGTGTGTATTATGTAGAACTTGTGGACCAACGCAATTCCAAGTCATGTTACTGAAACCAGCCGAAGAGCCGGTCATTGTTGCATTTGGCGTAGCGCAAGAGCGTGCCGTGCCGTGTTGCTATTCTGCTGGAAGGTTTTCCATCGTATTCAGTGAGTCAACCGGTCCTGCTCTCACACCTGTGTATTGCTCTCTGCTTGGCATCGTGTACTGTGTGTAGTACCGAGAGTGCTCTGAGGACAGTGTACGCTATCAGACTACCGCCGCTGAGCTGACGAAGCGCAACAGTGCTCTTCAGATGAACATCTCGTGCCTATACAAGACGGCCAAGTTGGAAATCGACCGAAAGGACCGCGAGATCCTGTCCCTCCGAGCCAGGTCAGTGCAACTGGTTTGCTGTTTCTTTTCTTTTGCACGGGAAATACGTCTTGTGGTGAGAAGTGATGGTGTGTGGTTCGTTGTCATCAGTGACATAACGTGTACTGCAATTTCCCCAGCAATGCCGAGATGTTGCAGTGCGATGGCTCTGGCAAGTGTGATATGGTGATGGTGGTGGTGTTGTACTATGTACAGTTTATATATAATAACAGCTGGCGAATTTGATGACACTTGGATACGATAGCCCAGTGTGTGATTGTCTGTGACCAGGGGAACGTAACATTACTGTCTTTGAAAGCATGTGAAAGCTGTATGATGTATTTTCGAGTAACCCTTGGCTGATCTAGCCATGCAGTGTGTGTGTGTGTGTGCGTGTGTGTGTGTGTGTGCGTGTGCGTGTACTGCAATGTACTCATTTTTCGTTTATTGTTGCCATTGCCATTGCTGACCGTGTCCAGATTGGAAGCGCTCAGCAAGGTCGCCTCCGACCTCAAGGCCAGCAATGATGCGGCAGGCCTACACATGCAGCAGCTAGAGGCGCAGGTCACCAGCCTGCGATCTATGCCGCAGCTCAACGAACCCGACGTCCAGCCGGCAACACCAGCGTACGACATGGCCGTGGACTCGAGCGACGACCGACCCATCACTCCGGCGCGGCATGAAATGACCCCAGAGAACTACCGACATCGTGCCATGACGGAATCCAGCGACTGGTCATCATGTTCATCACCAAAAGGTGTTCCAGATGCCTTACCCTTCGCCAGCAAAATTCAAAGTGAATAACATCCATGTGTTGCAAGCATCTACAGGAAAAGAAGAGATCAGCAACTGGTCTGTGCGGGCATATAATCAATGTTGAATCATCTTCTCAACCATTCTGCTTGGCTCTGCTTGCCGAATCTGCTTTTGCAACGGTAGACGACGGGGTGTTATTGTGCAACGGTAAATTACAGGACGTTATTGTGCAAACGTTTACCGTGTGTGCACGCTTGGAGAGCAGGGTGTCTGACGCACCGGGCTGTCATCATCACTCTGGCCGGTGTTGAACAGCAGTGGCAGTAGACCAGGGAATAGCTAGCAATGTCAGGGCGGCTCTTTAAGCCAAGGGCGGCTCCTCATGGCTGACTGATCACCCCTCAACTAGCTGCTTTCTGCCAGCAGCTGTGCGTCGACTGCGTAGTGTAACAGTGTGTAACGGTGGTGGTACGTGAATGCATCTCTGCTGATTTCACGGGATCTTATCAGCACTCTATGGGATGAGAGCAAAATTGCCACCTTGGTTGACCCTGTGTCATCAGGTCCCTGTCAAACTGAAGCCGACCACCAGCCTTGACAAAGAAAGAGAGGATTTGTTCTCTTAGTCGGGCAAGTGTCTTCGCTGATAAGCATATGTATCACTGCTGCTGCGACCAACGATACGTAAGCGCTCTGGTGTATGCGTGTGTGTGTGTGTGTGTGTGTGCGCGCGCGTGCGTGCATGTGTCCGTACGCATGTGCCCCACCAAGCAGTCCCACTGGCTTGTCTGTCATTGCAGGTGGAGGTGAGCTCCTTGTTCTCCAGGAGCTTCTGGAGTGTTCCCTGGAGATACCTCTGTCTTGTTAGGATGTAGTGTGCTAATGATATGCTGGTGCTCTAATGCACATGGGAGGTTTTTTTCTCTCCCTGATCTTGATATCCTTATTGGTTGTCAGTTATTCTCACTCTCAGGTTATCTGCTGGCAGATTGATTGCCTGACATATTCTTTTTCGTTGTTCTCTTATGTTTTACTCTCCGCTGTGAGCTGACAGAAGAAGTGTGCACTAAGCACTCAGAAGCCAACATGTACTTTGAAGTAGTTGCTTTGTTTGTCGATACTGGATGGCCGTGTACCCGCACATATTGGGCACCGAGCTGATAACTCAAGACAACCCAGCAGGGCTGCAACGAGAGGGGTTTGGTCGGATGGCGAGTTCGGGTACTTCTATCCAGGTAGCACGGGTACCCTATCGGGTATTTTCTGACATAGTTTGTACAGTGATCTAGTGAGTGTGCACTTGCGCTACATAGAAAGTGTACAGTAAGCACCTAGCCGTGCTTTTTACATGCACTGTTGCGAAAGCACCGTACTCCCGACTACCCGATCGGGTTCTCAGGGGCAAACTGTTACCTGAATGCCCGCTCTAATTACGAGTAGCACGGGTACCCTACTGGTACTACCCGATGACACCCCAACTACCCAGTACTCCACCAAGTGCCATGTGCTCATGCAAACCATGCACACCACACAGAGAGGGGGATTACGTTTTGAAATGGTTATTAGTGACCCGTGCCTCCAGAAGGTGTGGAGCTCATACTCGTAGTTGAAACCTCCTCTCGATTTCTCTCTCTCAGCTGCAGCAACGAGCTTTGCTTGTTGAGAACTGAGCACCCGTGGGCCAGCAGTGCACTCCACTCCCATGTACAGTGGTTTAGCGTACAGGAAGCCAGTGAGATAGGATCCGTGATGTGGAGCAGTACAATGTAGTACAATGATCAGGATGACATTGTGCTACGACATGATCCGGACAGGCAAAGCCGATATAAATTCTAAATCAAGAAAGGCATGAAGCCATTGCCTGGTAAACTAAACCCACCACCTACTTGACAACTAAGAAATTTTAATTGTACATGTGTATATTGCTAGTATTATGAGATTGCAGGGGGGGGGGGGGGGGTATCAAGATGCCTAGCGATTCCGAGAAAGTGATATTACATCATAAAAATACTTTTTGTTTGTAATAGCTAGCTGTACAGTACTGTTATTGTATTGGGGGTCTGGCACACAAGATCTCTTGCGATATGAATTAATCCATTAAAACTTGTTTGTACAATCCAGTGTTTACCTATACGCTGTGTTCTAATCTCTGCCTGGAGGGAGACATGTTCTAATGTCTGCCTGGAGGAGTTTATCTACGCTGTGTTCTAGTCTCTGCCTGGAGGAAGAAAGAAAACGAGGAAAGCTAGAACTGCACCGGCGTGTGGCATATCCAGTTTCACAACTGTGTACACTGCCTGTGTACACTGTCTGTAGAGTCAGTCCTAGTCATTAGTCACACTCCTCGGGACCGGTAGCACTGGCATGCTGGCCTACACGTGTAGGCGTGCATTGCAAGAATCGCAGCATCTGTGCTCAGCCGTTGTGGACTTGTCATGGCCGCCAGTCTCTTTCATCATGCTGTGTGTAGCTACTAACTGGGGTGTACCGGTAGTACAGTGTAGTACAGTGTAGTACAGTGTAGTGCGCTGTATGCACCTAATTCAGTGTAATGCTGGAGCAAGTCTGATACGCCATCTTTCTGGCACTCCTAAAGCCAGTGACGCTAAACAACTTCGTAGTCATCATGAGCAACTTCGTAGATATCGTCGTCAGCGGCATTGCGTGACATGCCAGGGTTGCGTGGTGGTAGTGCAGGGTGGGTGATAGTCTCCAGAGGCGGTGGAGGTGACGTTGGCGGTGGCGGGGGCTTCGATCCGCTCCGGCCAGGTCGCACATCGTCACCGGGTAGGTGAGGTAGAGACCGTTGAGGCGACACGGCGGCATTGGCTGGTGGCACCTGCGCTGGCAGGCGCTGCGCCGGCGGTGGCAGATAGCCAGTTGACATGGACGGTACCATGTTCGATGGTGCTGGTGGGTCTGCCGTCCTGCCTCGGTCTCGCAGTGGAAGGCCAGGCAAGCTGTCTCTGGAGTCCCGCGTTAACTGCGGCAGTGTGCTTGTTTTTGACCTTGACATTGACTGGTGTGCTGCTGCAGCTGCTCCAACATGTGCTGGCGGCATGGTTTGCGTGGGTGAAGGTGTATCCGGAATTGATGCCATGCTCACTGGCCGATTTCCACGGGCTGGCAGGGGCACGACATTGACAGGAGCAGCGGCCGGAGGTGGTATGTCCATTGGTGTTTGTGACTTGCTTCGTGCCGGGCGAGATTGTATATTCTGAGGCTGTGGAACCACCTCCGGCTGGATAGTGCCTGCAGGCTGCAAACCTGCGGCCATGGGCTCATACACATCATCAGTTATCGGTTCCGCCTCGGTCGGCAGCTGTGCAGGTGTGTACGAATGGCGTGCATTCGGAACCATGTCCTCATACAGATCACCACTCCCATCATCAGCGTCCGCTGCGGTCATGGCAGCTGCGGTCATGGCGGCAGCGGAGGCGGCAGCAGCAGCGTTGGTTTCACTGGGTGCACCGCTAACCATGGTGGTGGAAGTTTGGTTGCTCCTGATAGTTTCCAAACCACCTTGTGCTGTATCTATAGGCATGTAGAAGTCAGCTGTTTCCTCACCTCCTTCCATTGTTAGATACTCTTCCTCCTCATCAGCTGGATTTAGCCCACCTGCTGCTACGGCGTTGCCTAGAACTGTTGCTGACGTAGTGGTGGGTGGCTGGTACTGGGCCGAGGATTCCGAAGAGAACGAAGTATTCGCACGCGGCTGTGCAAGACAGTAGTCTGTCCCGGTTCCGTTGATAGTACCAACCGGGTCTGCGGCGTGGTTGTTGAGCTCGGTTTCCGTCAAGGGAATGACGGAGCTCTTTTCATCATTAATCTCATAGGATGTTGGTGACTTCTGTCGACGACGGCTTCGTGCCAGTAGCAGGCACATCAGGAGTAGCAGCAGCAGCAGCACAGCTGCAACACCAACTGCCACGCCGAGAGTACCAATGCCGTACGCAAAGAGGTCTGTTGACGACAAACAGGTAGGAGCATATTCCTCACAGCTGTTGGCACAGGAAGTAGGACAGGCGATGCAGATTAGCGTGGTCACATTCTGATAGTAGCCATATTGGCACTTGCTGCCACCAATGCACGACAAAGACTCATTCACACCAAGCTGCATCAAACTGGTGTTTGTACACTCAAAGCAGCCATCTCCTAGAACAACAGAGGAGCGGTCACAGCTTGCACATGTAGCACTGCATGGCCTGCATACGTCCATCTCATCCGAATAGGTTGCTGACGGACAGCTGGGCACACACTCAGTGGACGGCAGTGACTTGTAAAGACACTCGATACATTCTGTAGCCGACGGACCAGTGCAACCATTACACTGCTCATGGCACCTCTCGCACTGCCCTTTCTTGTTGACGAATCTCGTCGTGCTGTTGCAACTTGGAACACAGGTCTCAACTTCCACGCTGACATTCGGTTGCATGCCGAAGAAGTACCTGGCGCCGTTGAGTGAATAGTTCCGGCAGCCAAAACATTCAAATGCAGTGGGTCCAGAGCAGTTGACACACTGGGCATTGCATGGCAAGCATAGGCCACTGTTGGTGTTAGGATACGTCTGAGCTGGGCAGCGCTCCAGGCATACGCCGCTGCTGTCAACATTGCGGCAGTGCATACAGTCAGCATTGCCTGGCCCCGTGCATCCCACACACTGTGCATGACACGGCTGACAGGAAGTTGTATTCGACGTCATGTTGACTTGCGCATATTCGTGTGTAGAGTTACAACTACCAACACATTGCTTGCCTTGCAGGAACGTTGCGCAGCTCACAATGCACTCGCGGACCGCCCCAGCAAGCAAGCGGAAATAGCCTTCACCAGCGCAGTCCTTGCAGTTGGTGGGACCAGTACCGTTGCATTGGTTGCACACGGGACTGCACTCCTCGCACGCTGCCGCAGAGGAATTGTAGAACTGTGAAATTGAACACTCGTTGTCATACGCCCAGATGCCCACGGCTTCGCTGTAGGCTCCGGTGTTGGCTTGAAGTAGAACAGTTGCTGCCGGAATCGCAGAGCCGTTGGTGTTGCGCCCAGACAACAGACAGGCCTGCGTGTCGTTTGAACTGATTACTCCAGCTACTGGTATGCCGGCAATCCAGGCTGAAGTGATACTTGTGCCACCGCCAAGAAGGTTACTACCGTATACACACAGTCTGGTATTGGATGTACCATTCCTAGGACTAATCGAGGAAATGTTCCCAGGTGGCAGCAGTTCAAACGAATCGTCAATACTGGTCAGTGCTCCCGTGGTGGACTCAATGACTATCGTGACATTCTGTGCCACTCCTGTCGATACAGTGGCTGATGGGGGAAGGTGAAAGGTGATGGAAGAGTTGGTACTGCTAACAAAGGTGCGGACTATATTTCCACCCACTGTTACACGTGTCAAACCCTCTGCACCACCTAGCAAGCGCTGGCCAAGGAGCGTAAGCTGAGTTCCCCAACGACCCAGGCGTGGCTCCACTGACGAGAGAATTCCAGGCTGTAGGTAGGTGAAGGCATCGCTCAGCTGAACTACAGAGCCTGTGTTGGAGGTCAGTCGTACACTAGCCAACGCTGGTCCCTGGCTAGAGAGGGCAATGCTGGTAAGTCGCATGCGCACCATCTGGTCCGAGGAGGTCTGCACGGTCCACTCGTGTGTACCGAGCCTAGCCGACACGATGCGGCTACCATCGCCAAATAGACTGCGACCGGTGACGATAACAAGCGTACCGCGCTGGCCGCTTGCTGGCTGTACAGACGTGATCTGCCCCGTTGGCATAGCGACAAAGCTGACATTGCTGACAATGACCTGTCCGGGAAGGCCTGGCTGTTGAGTGGAGAACAGCCGCACCGAGAGACCACCGGCGACTGGCGTGTGATACGGTGATGCTGTCAGTACGGCTTGCACTGACGATGGCTCTACAGATACGACACGCGCGGGGATTCCCGCCACGCTGACCGAACTGACCAGCGCTGGCCATGGCTGGCTGGATGTGATGTCTAGGCGCGTGCCATTCTGCCCGGCGAGTGGACTAATAGACAACTGCGGAGGGGGTGCGTACGTCACTGTTCTCGTGCTTGTGTTGGCCAGCTGCACCTCGGCCCCGGTGTTGGCCCGAATGAACAGATCATCGTCGCTATCGCACCGTGTCAAACTGACATTGTTCGTGTTTGCTGCGTCGCCTGCTATGATCTGCACTGCGTTATTCGTGGAAAGCGTGACCTGCTGTGCCGGTATACCTGACAAGCACACCATACTAGCATATGTACCACCGCCTAGCAGTCCAGTGCCGGACAGCAGGACCCGGGTACCGAGCGCCGCAGTGCTGGGCGCAACGTCTGTAATGCCGCCCGGTGTCAGGTACGTGAATGCAGCAGACCTGGACAGGACTGACGAGCCGTCCGACCATAGAATGCGCACGGTGGCCGACGTGTTGGTCGGTACACCAGTCGGTATGACTGCGGTCATGTAGCTGGTGTTGTGCACTGCACCCAGTTGAGCGCGGAGGCCGCCGATCTCGATGCTAGCGTTGAGCAGGGCCGGGTCATTGAACTGGCCGGTGATGACAATGCGAGTGCCGGCCTGTCCACTGGTCGGTTGCACGGTGCTGATGGCAAGACGCGTCAGCGTCCACTGCTGCTGCGCCGAGCCTCTTAGCACGGCGCCTGTTGTGCTCTCAATCGTCACTGGTCCAGCCTGTCCACCGGGGACAGGAGAATTGTCGTACACGCGGACTTCTATGAGAGATTCACTGCTGGAGAGAATGGTGGCGCTTGTGTTGCCAAACCACACTCGGCTGAGATTTCCGCCGCCAATCAGGTTGGTGCCGCGGATGGCAACATGCACGCCATTGGATCCACTCGGCGGTACAATGGAAGCAATGGTTCCAGTCACATAGGTCCAAAGCTCGCCTTCCACGGAAGACGTGTCACTGAAATCCACCCTGACAGTGCCGTTGAAATTGGTGCTGTTGGAAGCTGCAGCTTGGAATGCTATCTGTTGCGTTAGAAACGGAACTGTGCTCCAGATGAGAGTGACGGGAGTGGGTGTGAATGTTCCCAGACTCTGCACATTACCTGCAAGGCTTACTTGCACCGGGCGAATGCCTCTTGCGGTGAGGGCAGCAAAGAGACTCGGGTTGGTGATGGCAACCCTGGTACCTTCTCGGCCGGACTGTGGACTGACGCTGAACAGTGCCGGGTAGGATTGCCAGGCAGCAGCACGGCCGCACACCCACGTGTCGTTCCCGCTGGTGGCGTACACTTGCACAAAGCCTGGCGTGTTGCTGCTGCTGCTGCTGCTGCTGTTGGTCGAGAGAGTGGCTCTGACTGTGATGTGTGTGGCATTGCTGCTGGTCACGCTAGCCTTCTGGCCATCTAGCCAGACTTGTGGGACCGCACTGGAAAAGTTCATCATGGCTAGTGTCACACGCGTTAGGCTCTGACCTGCAGGCGGGCTTACCGAGACAATCTGACACTGGCGGCTTGTACCGGTCGCAGAGCTGCTGGCAACGGTGAAATTTGCACCGGACTCCACAAACTCGCCTCCATTGCTTGCGACCAGGACGAGTGGAGACGACAATGTCGATGCTCCCAATCTTACCATCACTCTAGAGCTGCTAGCAGAGATGACTTCCAGTACTGGTACTCCGCCTATCTGCACCGTGGACAAGTCTGGAGCATTGAGCAGCAGGTTGCTACCAGTCAGTACAACAGTGTCACCGGGCGATGCAATGTGCGGCTCTACCGTGTCGATCTGCGTGTCGTTGGCGTAGTGCCACATGACGGACGGGTTGTTGGTGCTAGACACGAATGCCCCGGAGTCTGACTCGATGTACAGGGTCTGGCTGGTGGTGACGGCCACTGTGGGTAGGGGTGGCGCACGGAAACGTAGACGCTGATCACTGTAGTCCAACGCCGTAATGTTTGAGATGTCGACGTCAATGCCATTCAGTGCTATTCTTGCCAATCGCTGACCATAGCCGAAGAGATTAGTGCCGGTAACAGTAACCCAGGTGCCCGGTAATCCCATTGTGGGTGTCAGCAGTGTTACTTGTCCAGGAGGCAGACAGGTGAAGTTCAAGCCAGTGACCAGAGCGCCATTGCTTGTCTGAACGGTCACGTTTGCCGAGCCCGTAGTGCTACAGTTTGCCCGTGTGCGCACTGTGGTGTTGCCACCACCTCCCTGGTCTACTCCGGCACTGCCACCGCCAATAGTGACCTGTGAGATGGCACCACCAGCCAGCAGTAGCCCAGTGCCAGTGATATTGACTCTGGTTCCGGCCGCTCCCTGGCCGGGCACAATGCTAACCAGCGTGCTTGCTCGCAGGTAGGACCAGGCGGCGGTCTGCACGGCGAAAGCACCCGTGTTGGCTTCGACGCGAACATCTAGCAAGGCGCTGGAGAGGTTGTACTGGTTGCTAGGAGTTCTGACAGTAACCTGGTCATCGCTGTAGCTCAGGATGTCAGCTGACAGGTTGCCAAGAAGGACACGTGTGATATTCTGTCCAGCAGCCAGCAGGTTGCTTCCACTGATCGTGACCAGAGTGCCGTACTGTCCAGTGGGTGGGTCGACACGTGTTATTTGCGCCGGCACGGTGAAGTTCCAATCGCTCAAGCTCTGCACGGTGGCGCCACTTGTGGTCGTGATAACGATCGGACCTGAGTCAGTGGCCACACCGCGCGGGCTCTGTGCAATAACAACTATTTGAGAGCTGTTAACGCTCGGCCATAAGACAGTTGCATTGACACCGGCCAAAGTCACCCAGCCCAGTTGCTCATCTCCCCGCAACAAATCACCTTGTATCGTCACCACCGTTCCAGTTTGCCCGTACGCTGGAGAGAAGGACGTGATGTTTCCCGCCCGGCTAGACCACTGGTTGAGAAGTGACGCCGACGCTCCCGTGTTCAGCACCACTAACACATCCCTCCCGGACGGTGTAGCTCGGAGCCTGCCCGATATCATGCTCTCCGACGCAAGGCTGACGTCGACTAGCGCATTGCCCACCTGTAGCGACTGAACGGTAGTGTCTGTCGAGTTGCCGATCAGATTACGACCGGATACGACGACACGGGTTCCGCGTTGCCCAGTCCGAGGCACAATGTTGAAAATCACCGGCTCCTCCAGGTAGGTGAAGGCGTTTGTGAGTCGCATCACCTGGCCCAGGCTGCTTGTTACCACGACATCACCAACGACTCGCCCCGGCTTGAGTGGACGGCCAGCGGCAACCAGGATACTGACTGGCGTTCTCTGCAGGACTGTGGCTGGTGATTGCGCAATGACAACCGACTCATCGCCCAGTAGTGGAAGACTGGTGTTGATCCAAACACGGGTTCCATTCTGGCCAGAGGAAGGCAGGACGGCGATGATTTGGGACGAGTTGAAGCGGAATACCCCGGAGCTAGTCAGCACTGCGCCGGTATTCGACACAATGGTAAGGTTAAGTGCTGTGGTTGTGTTGCTGTAGAGATTCTGAGGTCCTACTTTGGCTGCAATGACACCAGGCTGCGTGGTCAGTACAACCAATGGTGGCCCGTGACCAAGCCGAACTGAGGATATTGCTGAGCCACCGATACCATACAGGCTAGTACCGGTTATGACCAGGAGGCTTCCCTCGCCGCCCTGGGCCGGCTGCACTTGCGTTATGGGCTGTGCCGCGACGTACGTGAAGTTCAGCCGCCGCTGGACAATTGCGCCCGTATCCGCCTCAATCCTGACTAGCACTGAGCCAGGGGTGGTGTCGTTGCG